ACCAACAAGCTCATATTTTTCAGGATCTTCTAACACTTGAACAAGTGCAAGTTGTACAGATCTAGGGAGTTGAGATGTTTCATGCAAACTGGAGGATGGGGTAGTTCTTTCAAGGTTGTCAGGACATCAATTTCCTTTTTATCTAGAGTCTCCTTAATGGCGTGAACTTGTTCCACATCGGCTTCAATGGTTAAAACCATTTAGACTGTCTCGACCAAGTCATCTCCAAAATACCCAATGGGGAAAAAGTCTCGCAGGATGATTGGGGTACGTGAGTTTTCTTCAAGAAATTTATTTACTTGTTGTGTTTTTTTTTCATTCTTTCTTTTGTCTATCACCTCCTTCTTGGAATGTTGATGGGAGTTCTTCTTTTCTTCTACTTTCTTGAGTGAAAAAGTTGATTCTTAGACTTACTTCTTCGTGACTTCTTTCGTGTCACGAGAGTCCAACTTTCATCTTCTCCAATTTTAAGACTTCTTCAAAACCATCATGGACATACTTGTCTTGATTTGGAACTTGAATAATGATAGGTTCAAGTGAACCAAACTAGATGACTTTGGGAATTGCTTTCACTGTCGGGATTGCAGACTGTGACATTTCTGTCTTGGATTTTGAGGATAGAGAATTTGGAGGTCCTACAACAACCGTTGCATGGTTGGATTCTGCCGATTCGTTAAAGTCTAAGAGGATTTTGTTCTTCCTGGCCAAGTCCAAGAGCAATTCCTTTAACACGAAGAATTTTTTAGTAGGATGACTAACTATCTAATAATAGTGGTAGTATTTCGGATCCTTCATACGACCTATTTCTTCAGGGCGTTTGCACTCAGGGAGTTGAATGACTTTCTTTTCAAGTAAATCTTCTAACATCCCTGGTACGTCAAAGTCAGGAAAGGAAAACTTCTTTTCTTGTAGTTCTTTTAGATATGGGCGTGTTTCCTTCCTTTTTTCTTTCTTCTTTCTTCTTGTCTTTCATTGAAATCTTTATTAGAGTTGTGGTTACCGTCATTGCTTCTTTGGTGGTACCTTTGAAAAACTTGCCTCATTTTTTTCATTTTTTTGTTCAAGAAAGGGAAGGTCTTTCTCGTTATGGTTAGCTATGCTAATTTCCATGTCATGTGAATGCATAGCTAACTCTTCAAATGTTCGTGATTTTACCCTTGAAGGATGTAAAGGAGTCTCCAGCGCATGCCTTGCATGCACATCTCTATAACTGAGATGTTAGAGAGTCAGTCCTTGCAATCTAGACTTAGAGGACTCCAACGGTTGATGTAGTCTACCACATGCTCGTCCTTCCATTACTTGGTACTGGTTAATTCTATCATGCTTACTATATGACAGGTGCTATAGGAACGATTAAGGAATTCACATTCCATTTGCTCATAATTGTCGAATGACTCAGCCTCCAAATCAGTGTACCAATTAAAGGCATTTCCTTTGAGTGACTGAACAAATTGTTTGACAAGTAGATATCCGTCTGTCCCGGCATTTTTGCAAGCTTAAGCAAAATGAGCGACATGTTGTTTAGGATTACCTTTTCTGTCGAACTGCTAGAACTTGGGAGGTTGGTATCCACCAAGCATTTTAAGAATGTCTATCCTCTTTGTGTAAGGCTTGGAGTACATGAAAGCGTTTTGCAGGGGCCCACTGTATTGTGCTTGGATGGTATTTGCAATCATGTCTTGAAGTTGTTGAACAAAAAAAGAAGCAATAGATGTTGGTTGACTACTTGTGTCAATCGCTTGCCTCACAACAGATGTACGGCAAGTTTCCTGACCAACAACTTGCTTAGACTTAGATGTAGGGTTTACCTTCTCAACAAACGTGGCTTGTGGTGTAAAGCCAGGTGGATGAGAATTGTCTTGACTTGCCTCATTAGCATTTTGTGCTTATAACTTGTTTATTAAGGTGGCAATCTGAAGATCTTTCTCTTCCACAGTTTTGGTGAGCTTGTCAATGGCACGAGCCATGGTCGCCAATTGTTCTTCCACTGAAGTGGTGCCAATGGTCATGACTTGCATAGCCACAGAACAAGACAAATTTGAGTGATTTGATGAAATTGAACGTTGAGGACTACTAGGAGATGATCCTGAGTGTGAGCTTGTACTTGAGTTTGCATCAGAAGCCACGGGCGTTGGGTATCCTTTGAGACATAAGTGGGCTTTTTTCATTCCCTTACTTCCTTTTGCTTAACCCCAGATGTGGATATCATGACAGATTTGTGAGACTTGCCTTGTGCTTACTTTGTTGCATTAGCAATCGACATAACCTTGTGAGTGGCAAGAGTAATGGTAGCCTTGGTTTTGCTACGGGTGATTGGACCCGTAGAAGTGCTATTGTTGATGGTCGTGACAGCGACATTCTTATTGATCGAAGCAGTTTGAACTTTCTTTGAAACCATTATGCTTGATCAAACAAGGCTTTGGGAAGATGCTTTAGGAGAAAGAGATGAGAGGCAAGGAGGTCCCACTAGGCGTGCTAAAATTTGTAAACACAAATTTCATATCTGCAAAAAACACGAAATAAATGCACAAATAATTAACTTTATTTGATTATGATAAATGGGTACAATTCTCTGTGATTTGCTGTATTACAAAAGAACAAATCCTCGGATTCGATCTCTGAAATGGTTGCAATCCAACGGCTGTAGAAGTTTGTTGTTGAAGTGAACAAGTTGATGTATTTCTTCAAGTCTTCTCAAGGAGAAACTTGGAGAAAAGAGGCTTTATCGAGAGCTTGAACTGCTTGATCTTGAATGAGTCGTGAAATGATCTATCTGATAGGAGAGACCAAATTTGTATTTGTAACTTCAAAGGATTGGCACAAATTTGGAGTACTTGATAATCCACACTTTTAGGAATGAGGAACTTTAGAGAAAATTTTAAGAAGAGAATTTGGCTGAGTCTTTAGATCGCTTAGGAGCTTACACGACCTTATGCCAAAAAAATATATGTCTCCCTTTTCATAGTGAGAGCCTCTATTTATAGGCTTAGGAGAAAAGGGTTAATTTTGGAAACTCTAAAATTAATTTTAATTTCTAAGAAAAATAGCAATTTATTTCTTATTTTATGGATATGATTTGCATTCAAATTTGAATTGTTTCACCAAATTTTTGGCAAAACATCTTTGTGAGTCTCACACTTTTGGGTTGACCCAATTGTCAAAATAGGTTCACTTTTATTTTGGTGTGACCCATAATTTAAAATGAGTTAAGATCCATAATTTTAGTAGGACCTACATTCATTTGAAAATTTTGACCATCATAATTTTGACCAATCAAGAAAATTTATTTATCTTGATTAATCAGACGGCGATCAAGACACGCAAAAATTTGAGTGTCTACAGACATTTTAAGATGTTTATTTACACAAAATACTATCAAACAAATAATCAAACATTTTATTTATCTAGCTCTCCATAATAGAGTGAAAGGGCATTTTAATTGATGTGAGGCCGATGTAAATATTTTTCGTATGTTTTTTATATGGCACTTGGTGTAGGGAGTACATTGAATTGATGTGTGATATTTAGGAATCCAACTAATATAAATTAGATATTGAGGACCAAAATGAATTGGCATATGTTGTGTGGCCTTTAAGTAGTACTTGCAAAAGAGAGATTAAGGCTGTGTTTGGTTGTGATTTCAAATCACAATTCTACATCTTAATTCAAGCATTGTGTTTGGTTGTGATTCTGAAATGTTGTTTTGAGAACTCTGCACAGAACGTCTGTGTTACTCTGCAACATCAGACGCGTTGTTCCTTTTTTTTTTTTTGAAATTTATGCTGCGCGGGATGTCCACCCGGATGTCCATGGGGATGTCCACCCGGATGTCCTCTGAATTCCGGATTTTTTTTTTGCAATTGATTTATATAATCGAAAAAAATATTTTCTGAAAATTTTTAAATTTTTTATGTGCTTTAAAATAATTTTGAGTTGTATGTTTAGTTATGAGTTGTAAATTTTTGTATCACATATCAAATGTCACATCAATAATTCCCCACTCAAATCAAACCTCTTTTCCAAAACTATTTTCAAAACTATTTACCAAACAAATTTTCTACACTCAGATCACAATTCTACAACACACAAACTCAAAATACAACTCATACTCTCAAATCACATTTACAAAACACAACCAAACGCAGGCTAAGAGTTCAACTTCTCAGGTACTACTAACAACTAAATAAGTGCTATACATAGGAACCATCTGCACAATTTACTTAATAAAAACAATAACTACTATCACACCCTCTGAACTAGGAGAAAACTATAGACGGTTGTCTTTATGTGAAAAATTATCTTTGTTATAGTACTTTTAAATACATATATCTTATTTTATAAGTTAAATGTCCACTTAGTATAAAAGATATATATCTCATTCTTCTCTCATATTATATATTTCTTTTATTTTCTACCAATTTTTTTTTTCCATCTTATTAGAGATTATTTCTATGATATTTGAATATATATATATATATATAATTTATCACCACAACATGCAAGACTTTTAGCGACCAATTATTTTGGTCCCTAAAACTATTAATTTGGTCTCTAAATAGTTTTTGTGATAAAATTAAATTCGTCACTAAAAAAGTCACTAAAAGTGCGTCTAGAAAAGTCTTTAGCGACAAATTTTTGAAAATGTCACTAAAAATGACAATTAGCGACCAATTTTATATTGTCACAAAATGTTTAATATTGCAAAACTAACATATTTCGTCGCTAATATTTTGTCACAAAATGTCTCCATTTGGTCGCAAAAAGCAAAATAGTGACCTTTTTAACAACAAATATATTTGGTCGCTAAAGGTTTGAAATAACGTTTTGAAAACATTCAATTTCATAGCTAAAAATTGACATCCACAGCCCAAATCTATCTCTGTATATAGAAAAAAACAAGATCAAATCTATTCTTGTATATACAAAAAACAAATTACAAAAATCAAAACTCTAAGTATCCAAATTCACTTCAACATGGTTCATTATATGAGTTAAATCCCAAAACAAGATCAAATTAGTTCAACATTGTATGAGTTAGAACTCTATGACGACTTCAACTTTGTCTTTCTCTCGCACCACCTCTTCACTAGTTCAGTTACAAGAGCAACATGCCCTAAACAATTAGTTGTTCCACGACCACAAAAGCTTATCACCGTCTATAGTCATAGAGAAATGATGAAAATCCTACACAAATGATCATAATCACAAGTGTAAACAAAGTTCAAAAATGTAAAAGAGATGTAGATGAAATCCAAAAAATGAATATCAACCTTGAAGAACTTAACTAAGGCATTTGAAGCGAATAAAAGCTCAAATTTTTGGGGCAAATTGAAAGAAATTTTTTTTTAAAAAAATTATTTGACTTCTATTAGACTCCAAATTGTAGTAATGCATCTGAAGATACAGTTAAAAATTTGGAATCAAATGGCCTAGATGGGCTTGGACCCTTGGAAGATTCCACATAAAGATTGCTGAGGAAAAAAAGAGGAAAACACTTTTTATATTTTTGGAAACATCATAGCACATACCATGAACTAATGCATATCGAACCATGTATGAATATTTGGCATGAACACTGCCAGAGGAATGATACAGTTGAATCTGAACTCTTTCACATAATTCATAAAGGATTTTTTTTTTTTGATTAAGTGCCAGGGCTGTAAGGACATGAAACATGGGGGACTTATGGATGGTATGTCTAAAAAAATATTCGGAAATAACGCACAGAAAAAACACTAACAAATAATCGATGTGATATATTGGGTATAGTACAATCATATAATCCTACTTACCAATGGGTTCGGGCAAACTCAGATGTCTATAAAGGCCATCAATCCCAGCAACAATTATAACAGCCAGCCTCAAGTGTGGATTTGCACACCCATCAAATGCTTTAATCTCAAAGTTGCTCACAATACCATTTGGAACCCCAGGTGGGCATGCGGTTCTCAGGGGTGCTTCTCTGTTCTCTTTTCCCCAGCACTGGTATGCTCTACTCCACATATTGGGCACTATGCAATCATAACTACATTCCAATAACAGTTGAACAAGGAAATTAGAGAAAACAAAATATATTATTTTTTGTTAATTTAATACACATCTATTTGAAGTTCAAAAACCCAACAACATACTAAAATTTTGATCCTTCAAACTGCATAAATTTGGAAGTGAAGAAATGGCCAAAAAGAATTTGCACAGAAAGGCATTATTTAAATTTAGCAAAAAGGGAGCATCGATTCAAGTCTGCAGGGAGACGTAGAAATGTAAGGATCTGTTTGTTTCAATTCAAATGATTAAAAGGGAAAAAGTCTTTGCAGAATAGTGGCTCCTTGAAATTATTGTGAGATATCTGCTTTCTTCATGTAGAACAGAAAGTGATGGAAACATCACCTTGAAAGGTTTTCCTCAAAATCAATAGTACACCCATCAAATTTCCAAATATAACTGCATGCTTAAAAAATAATTCTATGTAGACAAGATATTTTAACAGAACTGGTAAAAATGCATACTTCTCTGTTAGTACCTATGGGTTCAACTCTGACACAAACTGAGATGCACATGAGATCCAGAACCAATATCATCTAATGCATACCTGGGGCAAACAAAAAAATGGAGAAAACAGTTAAGAAACATAGCTTGAAGAAGAAAATTCTGCAGGTGAGGAAATGAGTGAAGTTCAACCAATATCAGATCCTTGTCAAGGATCTTCACCTCTCCCCCAAGATGTTCCAGCCAACACAAAACAGGGAACATATATGGTCTGGTTCCCTTAACAAACCTGAGTTAGATTAAAATTCACATCAAACGGATCGAGAAATACCTATAATTAAAATTCACATAAAAAAGATGAAGTAAACAAAAGTCAAATAGAATGAGTTAAATTAAATTTATTAATTCAACATTAAAATTAATTTTTGGCTACAATCTGTATTAAAAACTCAATACTACTTGAAGGATCGAGAAATACCTTGATAGAGAGTGAATTAACCAATCAATGTCTTCAAAATAGCAGAAATCTGCTAAAAATAAAGAAGATGAAGAATCAACCTATAGAAAAACTGCATCCATGACAATGTGCAGGCCAATCGAACAAAAATGTGAACTACTTATTGTGTTATTTATAGATCTACAATATATATATATATATATATATGAACATATTTTCAAAATAACAAACAAACAGGTTCAAACAGAAAGAGTCATATGCACATATTTTCATTCGAATTTTAGGTTGGTAGATAAGATTAGATATATGATGCGTAATTAGTACATCAAATAATTTAAATGAAGTGAACATAAGAGTATGCCTCTGTTTGTTAATGGATTCCAAGTATCATTGTCAATAATAGCTCCATTGAATTGACTAACTAATAAATGAAACTTGTTTATTAAAAAGTCAAAGACGTCATCAAATATAGCGATCCCGGTTTTTCCTTCCTTTGTATACTGTATTCTGGACTTGGTTCCGTGGACTTGTTTTTGTATCATTATCACTTCTAGCCTTTCCTCTTTGTATTTGAATCTTGGGTTGTGATGGGCAGGTTTGAAACAGGTTGGTTGCACTTTGAAACCAAAAGGTGATGTCCAGATTTTGGCCTTCACGCTCGAGCGGAAGTTTTAACGCTCGAGCGGGCTCTTCGTTGTTGCTTATCCGCTCAAGCGGGAGTTTTGACGCTCGAGCATGTTTTTCCATCTCCCAGTACTTTACTCTGCAGTCCCTCCGCTCGAGCGGAGAGTTTGGCGCTCGAGCGGGTACCATCGCCTGCAAAACTTCTGGATGTGTGTAATCGACGCTCGAGCGGCTCTTTTCACGCTCAAGCGTGAGTCTGTGTCTGACGCTCGAGCGGGGATTTTCACGCTCGAGCGGGGAGTCGACTACATCAGTCCGAGATTTCACTTTTTGGATCACTTTTTGACCTACTTTTCTTTCTTAACTTTTAGAAAACCGCCCCTTGAGAGTCTCTCTCTCTTTCTCTCTCTCTAAACCTGCCTTCTCTCTAAAAATTGATCTACCTAGGGTGAGTATCTAACCTTGGTCCTTTATTAAAAAGATAGAGTGAGTCAAGGGCTTTCATTCAATCTGAACGTTTGGTGGTTTGGAGCACTTTGGAATTTGGGTATTCATCTTCGTCTTCTCCATTCGGGTTATTTTCTTCGAGGTAGGGATTTCCTACTCCATCCTATAAGTTTTGTTCTAAGTTTTGGTATTTTGATATGTTGGGAGTACTTTGGTAATTTTGGGAAAAACCCTAGTTGTATTAATAAATTAATTTGTATAATTAATTTAAGGAAATTGGGGAAATTGGTTAAATGCATGAAATTGAGGAATTCATTGATTAAATGGTGTAGTTGGATAATTAAAATCACTCGCCTATTGAATTGTTGATATATTTATTTCCAGTCTAGAAATAACTGTTTTGGGCTATCGGTGGAGGATAGTCGTGTTTGTTGTAGACATTGTATGTGGATTAGGGAAAATTGAAACTAATCAAATTGTTTAAGTCATAAATTTAGACTATTGAATTTAATACAGAAAATACATGTATTGATTGTGTGTTGTACATGACAAGTGTTTAATACATTGTATATGTATTTTTGTTTGGGAGGAGATAGGGGATGGACTCCATTAGCATCACTATTATGTGTGCTTATTCTATTGAAGTGTTTTTACATGTTATTGATACAGCACTAAAATGTGTATCAAATGAGAAGTACGAAGTGTTTTGATATGAGCCTGAGTCTCATCTGTGTTGTTGATATTGGAAGTAATGTGAATGTGATATATAGTTCACTATTGTAAGTTTGGCCAGGTTCTGAGCCATATTGATAATAATGGGAATTGAAACATATCATAGACATTAGTGTCATGGGTCAGTATCAAGTTATAATTGATTATCTTGGTTAACCATCTATTGAATGCTATAGCTTTATCCAATACTTATATTTGGTTTAGTATTTTTCTACTGGGCTGTGGCTCACCCATTATGGGAACATCATTTTCAGGTTAAGGTGATAAGCTACCTCCAAGGACTTAGCTTGGAAGGAATTGGAGTTGAAGACTCTGTTTAGTTTAGTTGTTATTTATTTATTTGATATTACATGTAAACATTCAAGCCTAGGGCTTTATTTGTATTTGAGTTAGAACTCATATTCTGTGTCCAAGTGTTGGCTTGGAAAGATGTTAGCCCGTAGGGCATTTAATTTGATGTTACATGTAACGCTTTTATTTAGTAATACTCTGATGAATGAATTAATGAATTGTTTTCTTTAAATATTGCATGTCAATGATATATATATAATGGGTTAATTTTGAGGGCGTTACATCAAATATAAATCTGTGTAGGAATTTGTCAACCCAATTTTAATTGCACACCATAAGGTGGAAAAGATGGTTAAGAAAGTTAAAACAATTGGGAAAAGAAAATCAGTACATGTAAATGTTAAAATATAAAGAGAAGGGTTGATACCCGATGGCCTTCTTTTACAAGAAGTCTTGACAAAAACACACCAATAAACTGAGTCCCTCCCATTATCAGGATTTTCATAAGATAATCATCAAATATTGAAATGCTAGAAACAACATATTCTGAATAATGATCATCATCCATCTAGAAAAATACAATAAAGTCAATTAAAAAATAAGATGAAAGTTGTGATATCCAACGCTGATGAAAATTCTCAAACAAGATTAAGGTCTATACTCGATAAAACGAGCCCGTAATTTATTCATCATTTTGAACAAATAGGATTTTGGAGTTAGTTAACTAAATCTCACATACTTACTTGGGGAAGGTAACAAATAAAAAAATGGGAATAAACATCACAAAGTAGAACTAGACAAAACCCCTTATGCATAACAACAAATGTTAACAGAGCCATGAATGATATGCATAATTCTAAAATTATTAAAAATTATAGGATGGCTAAAGAAGAACTTGACATAAACAAGGGGATTTATATTACGAATTGCTGAAGGTCACTAGAAACATTGACTACAAACTTGAGAGTGACTAGAAACATTGGCTCATTCACCCTTTTCTTCAGTAGCTTCATCTTTAAAAAGCTTCTTAATCTAAACAATGACCCAAGTAAAAACATAAGCAAAAGGAAAAGAAAGAAAGAAAGGAGCAGATTTCTCATCATTCCATTCGATGTGTCATTGTCTTACATACCGCCATTAGAAACAAATAAAACAGACAAACTTTGAAACCCAAGTGCTACCACAATCAATATCTGAAACAAAGAGAAGGAAACACAAGATATTAAATCAAAAGGCAATAAGCGAACTTCACAGGATATTAAGTTTGTGGAAGTTAGGAATTTAGAGATTTATTAGTTTAATTTGCTATAAGTTGCTGGTACATGTGAAGACTGCAAGTTTATTCAAGAAGTTGTTTCTATCAGATAAAGCATTAAAAAAATAAAAAATAAATTTAACTCCTTTTACTCTAGTCTCGTTTCCTATCTTTTTTTTTTATTTCATTTTGCTTTCCCTCAATAAATCTAAGATCCAAACATGGCCTAAAGTTACTTTAAGGATTCTATAAACTATAAAAAGGCAAAACACAATAAAGAAAATTCACAACCTTGAAATATCAATCAAAGCACAACAGAACATTTGCAAACTTAAATTATATAAATATTTGAACAATGAAAAAAGATGCAAATTCAAGATGAACCTTAGGTAGAAGTACCTGTTTCTGAAGATTCAATAAAGTCAATATTTCTTTTCTCAACTCAGGATGCTTTGCACATACAACTTTGGTTGGAACCTTTGGTTTTAAATTAACCTATGAAAGGAAAGGGCATGATTGCTTATTAAGAAGCATTTTAATGGAAGACAATGTGTAAGAAGTGACACCATAAGATAGCAAATTCTGAAACATCATCCTTTCATGTTTAGAAACATCTAATGAAGAACAATATGTTTATTATTTCCTGAAAATTTAAAAACTATGTTAGGCTTTGGAGCAATAAGGAAACACCAAAAGGAGAAGTATCTGAAGCTTAAGTTAAAGGTGCACCTCAAGCAAGCCAACTTGAGCAACTCAAGTTATAACTCTCACTATAGTATAATAAGTGTAACACCAACAATTAAACCAACTATGTGATTCATATGTATGGAACACACTCATTATTTTCATAGTATCATCATTAGGCATATTGTCAAACACATGGTGAGCAAAATATAAAATTGTAGTAGTCCAATCAAACACCAACAAGATAGAAATCCATCAAGAAAAAAGAAAGTAACAGATATACATATTATGAAGTTTCTGATATCAATCAGTCAATGAATGGGAAGTAAAAAAAAAAAAAATCATTCATCAAATCCATCAGGTCAAAAATTATAGAAAAATTCATATATAGAAACTCGAACAAAAATCACAAAACACAAAAAGATATAAAAAATTACAGATATTAAGATCAAAAACTTCATATATAAAACTCTGATACAGAGTTTAGAAATCAGAGTTTACTTGGTCCCTACATATTTAGAAATCAGAGTTTCAGAGTTTTAAACTTCATATATATCAATAATTTTAACAGCTTAGAGAGTCCTGACCTACGGTTTTCGATACCAGGTGAGAGAGAACTCGGAAGAGAAGTAAATCGACAACCGAGATTCTTCTTCAATGAATCGATGATGAAATCTTCCATTGATTGAAAATTCTATCAAGAAAAAAGAAAGTAACAGATATACATATTATGAAGTTTCTGATACAATCAGTCAATGAATGGGAAGTAAAAAAAAAAAAAATCATTCATCAAATCCATCAGGTCAAAAATTATAGAAAAATTCATATATAGAAACTCGAACGACAATCACAAAACACAAAAAGATATAAAAAATTACAGAAATTAAGATCAGAACTTCATATATAAAACTTTGATATAGAGTTTAGAAATCAGAGTTTACTTGGTCCCTATATATTTAGAAATCAGAGTTTCAGAGTTTTAAACTTCATATATATATATCAATAATTTTAACAGTTTAGAGAGTACTAACCTA